GTCTCTAATAAAACTTTTTAACTAGTGGGATTATTTGGGATTAATTTTAATATAAGACGGGGCAGGCAAAGAACTTTTGCTAGCTTTTTTTTTTAAAGTAAACTTAATTGGTAAGTTTCGAAAAATTACGAGAATACAAAGTACTTTAAACTGTATAAAAAATCAAAAAAATTTTTTTATTAAATTGGCTAAGCCACCATGCTTAAAAATATAGTCTAGATGTGTAGCCATCGACTGATTATTTCTTGTATTCTGGTAGAAAGTAAGAAAAGGTTTTTTCTCCAAAAGAGAAGCAGAGTCCAGAAAGTTGTTTAATAGCATTTTAAGTTTTAATCTTGATAGGTTATTTTGTGTATTGGCTTGGCTTATTCTGTTTATGGTTGGGTCTAGATTAGTATTAAAATCTCCTGCAATAATGTTTATCTTGTCTTCGTCAAAAGGAGGAATCCAATTTTCAAAGAAGGCTATCCTGTTTTTCATGTTTGGTGGAGCATAGACGTTTGTGATCTTGAAAAGGTGCTTTTTATATAAGAAGTCAGCTGTAATAACCCTTCCTTTATGGGAGGTTTGAGGGTTCTGAAGTTTTAGATCTCTTCTGCCAGCCAGTATTGCAGTTTTGTCAGTCCAGATTGATTCAAATGACCATTGTAGTTTTAGTAGATTGCAGATATTTTGGTTACTAAGATTTGTTTCTTGAATTACAATTATGTCGAGTTTATATGATTTAATTAATGTTAATGTTCTTTGTTGTTTTTCACGGTCATTTAGCCCTTTTACGTTTAGTGTAGCTATAAAAATTTTTGGGCTTTCTGTCATAGAATTAAGATGAAAATTGTTTATTGTGAGGTGGCTCTGTGCCCACCTTTGACCTTTTGGTATGGGGTAGATCCTATGATATCCTGATTCGACCTACTTTTAGTGATTTTCTATTATTTTTCTTCTTATTAGATACTGTGATAAAGCCTTCATCATCTATATTAGGCGGGGTATTTTCTTTCTCATTTGTACCAGACTTTTGTAAAGCAAAGATTCGAGCTGGATCCTCCATTGTTAGCTTATCTCTTGGAGCTTTATTGAGCAAAAGTTGATTTTCCACCTCTTCTTAAATATGGAGGGATTTTAGCTTGTCATCAGTTTCATCATTCTTCTTAGTTGCCTCTTCTGTAGATATCATCATTGTATCAAGATTAGCTAGAGTTTCAGTATTTTCCTTGGGGTTTTCTTCCAAATTTGAAACAGGAATGTTTTCTTTTGGAAGTTCCTCTTGTACTTTAGTTATTGTTGGTTCTTCCTGCAAAGGTAATACAGGGGTCTTTCATAGTGGGCTGCTTATTGATTTCTCCTCTCTTGTTTTTCTAACTTCTTCTCTAAATTTACGATAATGATCTCAAAGTCTGAGTGATTCTTGGAGTTGTTCACAATCTCTCTTAATATGACCCTCTTAATCACAGAAGAAGCAAATTTTTGGAGCTAATTTTCATTCTGTAGTGACCTTATTGTCACCGACCTGAGTGAAACGTGGGATTTTACTTTCTAGGTTTGGGTCATCTGTGTTTTTGAAAATGACAATCCATTGGTTTGTTAAATAAGGAGTGCCTTCAATCAGAAGAGGTTTGATAGAGGAGATATCGCCTATGTCTTCAAAGGCCTCTTGAATAAGGTCAGAGATTTGGTTTTTGTTACCAAGTGGGACATTTCTAATTTTAACCAGTAAGAAGGATTTGCAAGCATCTGTTGGGATGTAGCCATAGTAGGTTTTACCTAAAATTATTACCCATTACTAACATATTCTTTGAGTAGGCTTTGATTTGCGAAAACAATTTCTAAATAAGAGCGGGCACCTTTTTTAAAGTGTTGTTTAGCAGCAATGACTTTGTCTTTAACATTTTCAAAAAGTGAGAACATTATTTCATTAAAAGAGCAATGAATTCCTGAGATATCAATAATTAGAGCATTATCATTCTTGGATTTGATTTGCTCTCTTGGAAAGAATGTTGAGAAGGTAGATTGGCCTCTTTTTAGCTTTGGAAAGAGATTAGACTACTGTTTAAGTGGGGCTTTGTCCCGAGTGGCTTCTTGTCTTAGCTCATTAGTTAAAACATGTATATATAGGTTCACAGGGGGTTTGGGACTTTTAGGTGGAGTTTCTATATAACTTGATGATGTGGAACTTTCTGGAACCTTTTCAGACACGTGTGTCGCTTTGTTGTTTTGTTTACCCAGTTCTGTTTTTTGTAAAGACATGTTCGCATTCAGCCAAGAGTTTTCTTGAGATACAATATCATCCCAGCTTTCCTTACTAGTAGTTAACTTGTGTTTCCTTGTATCTTCAGTAGGGTTTGTGAGCAAAATGCTTGAGTTTTGTTCAGGTTCTGTGAGTTGAAGACCGGAAGAGTCTTTAACCTTGACTTCTTTGTTGGAGGAATCCATAATTTTGTATTTTTTATTTAGTTGTTCTTAAAATAAAGCTTTTGTGGCCTTTCTTTTTGCTAGAACAAGGGCTTTAGCCCTTGTTATTGTTGAACCGTTTGGGTTTTTACTCCTAGATATATTAGGTATTTTGTCCATTTAATATTTTACTCTCCCTGCTTTATGTATACAGGAGAGAGTTACCGTAGATCCTTATATTCATCTCTTTTAAAATTATACACTAATATATACTCATTTGTTACGCTTTCCTGAGTTAATTCATATACTTTAAGGGTGTTACTTTCTGATTGTATGAAATTACCAAGATAAAATTTTTTTAGACTATACTTATAATATAAATATAAAAATGGCTTTACTATTATGATTATTGCAACAGCGGAAATAAGAGCACAAATAATGCGTGGCAGATCCTCGATTTTGATTGGCTAATAGCCGAGGATCTCTAAAATTTTGGCCCGCATTACATAATTGTTTCCTAATTTCTGGCCGGAATCAACTTTTTAATTTTTTCATTACAAAAATAGAAATATTTAAAAAATGAGCTTGCATTATAGTAAAATTGGCTCAAAAACAATTTTCACTTAATAGGCGGCTGTGATTTCATTAGTAAAATTATGAGTAATTCTAGCCTCCAATAACCAACCAACCAACCAACCAACTAACCAACCAACCAACTTAACCAACTTAACCAACTAACCAACTAACCGGTTAAATTAGTCACGTGATTACATAACCAGTTAGTTGCCAACTATAGTTGGCAACTAACCGGTTAGTAAAATTTTAATAGTTTGGAACACTAATCTACAATACAACTAAGTGGAGTGACTAATTCTCATATCTGGTTTTGGGTGGTGATTTTTGTATTATCTTTAAAGGAATTCCCTACATCTTGTTTTTCTTTAACCTTCTCAAACAAGATGTTTCATCTCCTGAGCCCTTTGTTAAGCCCAAATCGCAGCCTCTGCATTTAACCAATTTGACTGTAATTTCTTGCGGGTCTTCTATATATTTCCAATATTCTACTAAGATAGTTTTCTTTTCTTTTTTCTTTGCGATTTTTTCCATTACTGTCATGTTCTTGGCCTTGAGGAGTACCCATTCTTTTTTCCTTTTATCGTTACTTATTGGTGATAACTCTATTTTGGGAGACAGACAGTTGGGTGTTTTGGTTCTAAGCTCTGCTTTGATTTCTCTACTAACTAGGTTTTCAATTATCTTTTCTTCAAGCTTCTTGACTCTGCATTTTTTGATCTGGCCCAAGTAAACATTTTCTGCTCTGTACTGTCTAGAATCTGCTCTACTACCAAGATACTAGTTTCTTTTTCTTGTAGAAAGCCTTTGATCGTTTTCTTATCCAAGAAGTTTATGATTTCTGATTCAGCCTCCATAAGCTTTAGACTTTCTTCTTTTTCTCTGGATCTTATACTTATATTTATGTTTTTTGCTTTACTCATAATTTTATACGCAAGGTTTTGTTTAAGCTTAACCTTCTTTAGTCTTGCTGCATCTAGGCTGAGTGCTCTTGCAATCTAACTGAGCTTGTTGAATTCTGATCCACGTAGCTTTACCAATTTCATTGTTTTTATTTATATGTTTTTTTAGCTCTTTGATATAATGGGCCATCTGATTCTGCCAGATTGTTTTGAGCCTGACTATATTTTTATGCGCCAAGATTGCATTTGCCATAGTGCTGGCTAAGCCAGATTTATTTTTAATTAGCTTTAGGATAGGGCTTTGGAGTTTGTCGCATTGCTCTCTTGGGATGATACAGTGTTGTAAATAGTACTCCAACCTTGGGATAAGTACTCTATTGTTGATATAGACTAGTTGTGCTAACGAGGTGTTCTTTTTATAGATTGCTATGCTAATTGCTTGTATTTCTTTCTTTGCAATACTTTTAATATATAACTGACTAGGTTTTTGAATAGCCAAATATTAAGGAATCTCGTTAGCTCGCTTGCCTTCTTTTCGAATACTTTTGCTTTCAGTGTGCCAAATTCTATAAATCTAGGCTCCTTTATTTTTTCCCCATCTATTATTAGTAGCTCTGATTTCTTGCTGTTGATTTCGATATCATTTATTTTATAGAACTCTTGTGCTATATTAATCGTTTCTTCTAGTTCTTCTCTACTAGATGCTATGAAGGTTGTGTTATCAGCATACGCAATTACAGGAATTCTTAAACATTGTCACCATGTGTGATTTCTACTCAGATCACTTGGCCAGTTCACCTCAAGTTCATAACCTCTTCTTTTGTTCTCTTGAATCTCTGTTAGCAAGAGGTCGTAAAATATTCTCCATACAAGAGGGGTGATCACTTCTCCTTGATCAATCTCATCCCCTGCTACAAATCTTTGGGTGGTTTCCAAACTTGTTATAACCTCCATTTCACGGTTATCGAAGAGGTTTATGATAAAACGTGTAAGTTGCTTTGGGATTTTAATTCTTTGTAGTGCGATTGCGAGTATTTTTAGCTCCACAGAGTCAAATGCCTTCTTATAAGAGCCATATTTCCTTTTTCTTTTCCTTTACTTCCTCTACTAAGCAGTTAATAAAATGCACTGGTACTGCTGTACCCTCTCCTGGGAGGCCCACAAAGTTCTTGCCTTTTAATACTTCTTTTTTGCTGAGAATTTTTGCTAGCCTATTTGTGATCACTTTTACTACTGTTTTTCAGAATGATTCCAACAATAAGATTGGCCACATGTTGTTTAGGTTGTAACACCAGTCCTCCGTCTTGGGTATCAGGTACAAGATATCTAGCTTCCACTTTTTTGGTATAGTACCTTCTTCTATATACCTAGAAGCAAAATCGAGAAAGAACCTTCTTGTCATGGAGTTTGCATTTCTTATTAGTGGATATGTAATACCTGTTCTTTCTGGGGCAGACTTGGTTTTGACCTGTTCCAAAGCCTGCTCCCATTTGGCTAAACTGATCTTATTTGTGGTATCTTTATACCAAGACTCTTCAATATCTTCTCGAGAGGCATACTAGTTCCTCCATCTTGCTGGCATAGCCTTTATCTGTACTGTATTTCTTGTACGAAATTACTTTTCAAAATGTTCTTTGATCTCCTTTAATACGTCTTCTGTCTCATAAATTAGTTCTGCTTCTTCTTTTGTCTTCTTAACCACTCTGTCAATTTTGATTTTTTTGTAAGGTCAGTCTAGAAGGCTATTAAGCATTTTCCATTAGTTGGTGACAATTATACTGTGCCTCTCTTCTATACTTTCTCTAATTTCTGCTTCTTCAATACTTCTGATTTTTTTTACGCCACTCCTTGTGCAGTATTTTTGCCCAGTTTTTAAGGCCCTCTGAGTTCAATACATCTGTTTCATCTTCTATGTCGTTAACAACCAGAGCCTTGACCTTTTCTAATGCACTAAATATGTTGTCTTTGACTATCACAGGTCAAAAGCATAAATATCTATAAATATCAGATACCCGATAGCTAATGATTGCTAACTATCTGCGCCAAAAATCTGATATATATTGGCAATATGTCAAAAAAATATCAGAAGCATATCGGGTAAAAAATAAATATCAGATAAATATTGGGTATCCTGATATTTATTTTTTACCCAATATGCTTCTGATATGTTTTGACATATTGCCAATATAGATCAGATTTTTGGTGCAAATAGTTAGCAATCGTTAGCTATCGGGTATCTGATATTTATACTTTGGACCTGTAATGGTCCTTTCTTCACTTTGCGGTAGCCTTTGTTATATACTTTTACCGCCAATCTTAGTACTCATACTTCATTGCTTTCTTTGCTAATTTTAAGAATTTCTGGTGATTTTTCTCTTTTTGGAAAACTTGTGTTTGCTACTGTTTTGATGCATTCTTCGATTATATTCCATTTCTCGTCTATGTTCTTGGGTTTGTGCTTGTTCTAGCAGTTTTTTATCTTCTTTTCAAGGCTCTCTCTATATTGGATCCAATCCTTTTTAGAGGCCTTACTTAAATCTAAGTTGACTCTTTTTCTGTTTTCATGTCTTCTTTTAGCTGCACCTGTTTTTCTTATCTCAAGTTCTGTAGCAATACTTGCTCTTATCAGTTTGTAATCACTTATAGTGCAGAGATCCATGTTATCAACCTTGGTATTAATTATACTGCTTTTCTATCTATCTGATATCCATATGTAGTCAATGCCTTTCTGTTTGACCAGGTTGGAGTACTGGCCAAATCTTGTATATCGTACATATTCTTTTCTTTTAAAAATGCTACAATTTGTTGTTTTATCTTGGACTTGGAACTTGCACTTTTCACTTTGCTGTCTGCTAGGTCTGGTGTAGTCACATTAAGATCACCCAGGATTATAAAACGCTGCATTTTCTGTTGTGTCTTTCTAAAGTATCTCTAAGTATATACAAAATCTCTTCTTGTCTTGTTTTATCATTTGGAGCAACATACAGAAATATTATAATTATTACTAGGCCTTTAAAGTCCAAACTAAGCTTTAAAAAATAT